GACAACACCATTTTGTATACGTCTGGCCCTTCATTGGACACTGTGTTAACAAACCTCCAAACGAGCTTCAATGCCATACAACACTCCTTCCGTAGCCTCCAACTGCTCTTAAACGCTAGTAAAACTAAATGCATGCTCTTCAATCGAACGCTGCTTGCACCCGTCCGCCGGACTAGAATCACTACTCTCGGCGGTTCTGACTTAGAATATGTGTACAACTACAAATACCTAGGTGTCTGGTTAGACCGTAAACTCTCCTTCCAGACTCACATTAAGCATCTCCAATCCAAAGTTAAATCTAGAATCGGCTTCCTATTTTGCAACAAAGCCTCCTTCACTCATGCTGTCAAACATGCCCTCGTAAAACGGACTATCCTACCGATCCTTGACTTCGGCGATGTCATTTACAAAATAGCCTCCAACACTCTACTCAGCAAATTATAATTAATATAAAATAATTGGTCATTTAGCAGACGCTCTTATCCAGAGCGACTTACAAGAGCAATTAGGGTTAAGTGCCTTGCTCAAGGGCACATCGACAGATTTTTCACCTAGTCGGCTCGGGGATTAGAACCAGCGACCTTTCGGTTACTGGCACAACGCTCTTAACCACTAAGCTACCTGCCGCCCTACTACATCCAATTAGACTACCAAATTGGATGTAGTCTATCACAGTGCTATCCGTTTTGTCACCAAAGCCCCATATAATACCCACCATTGTGACCTATACGCTCTCGTTGGCTGGCCCTCACTACATATTCGTCGCCAAACCCACAGGCTCCAGGTCATCTATAAATCACTGCTAGGCAAATCCCCGCCTTATTTTAGCTCATTGGTCACCATAGCAACACCCACCCGTAGTACGCGCTCCAGCAGGTATATCTCACTGGTCATCGACAAAGCCAACACCTCCTTTGGCCGCCATTCCTTCCAGTTCTCTGCTGCTAATGACTGGAACGAACTGCAAAAATCTCTGAAGCTGGAGACTCTTATCTCCCTCACTAACTTTAAGCATCAGTTGTCAGAGCAGCTTACCGATCACTGCACCTGTACACAGCCCATCTGTAATTAGCCCACCCAACTACCTCATCCCCATATTGTTCTTTATTTGCACCCAAGTATCTCTTTTTGCACAAAATCTTCTGCACATCTATCACTCCAATGTTAATACTAAATGGTAATTATTTTGCACTATGGCCTATTTATTGCCTTACCTCCACAACTTACTACATTTGCACACACTGTATATAGATTTTCTATTGTGTTATTGACTGTATGTTTTGTTTATCCCATGTGTAACTCTGTGTTGTTGTTTTTATCGCACTGCTTTGCTTTATCTTGGCCAGGTCGCAGTTGTAAATGAGAACTTGTTCTCAACTGGCCTACCTGGTTAAATAAAGGTTAAATAATTTTTTTTTTTTTTTTTTTAAATGATGAAATCTCTCTCTCTCTTTCTTGCTTCTCCTTCATTCTGGAAGAAATTAATTTGTTAAAAACTGTTCAGCTATTGTATTTCTCTCTCTTTGAGTCAACTACTCACCACATTTTATGCACTGCAGTACTAGCTAGCTGTAGCTTATGCTTTCAGTACTAGATCCATTCTCTGATCCTTTGATTGTGTGGACAACATGTCAGTTCATGCTGCAAGAGCTCTGATAGGTTGGAGGACGTCCTCTGGAACTTGTCATAATTACTGTGTAAGTCTATGGAAGGGGGTGAGAACCATGAGCCTCCTAGGTTTTGTATTGAAGTCAATGTACGCAGAGGAGGATGGAAGCTAGCTGTCCTCCGGCTACACCATGGTTTTTATGAAATTCACTGAGGAGGATGGTCCTCCCCTTCCTCCTCTGAGGAGCCTCCACTGATTGAAATGTGCTTCACATTCTTCCCCAGGTCCATTTGATTAGATATTGCAGGATATTACTTACTTACCATACACAGCACAGGCACCACTCAATGACCCAGTTTCCATGACAGAGATGGTGTCAAACTGAATCAACATCAACTGCACAGAATACAGCGTTCAGTCCTTGACAGGACTGTGTAGGCCTAGTATGCTATTGTATAGACACAGATGTTTTTAGAAGAAAATAAAATATTTTGAGTATTTAGTTCAGTCACCTGACAACAGAGTTTTCTCTGTAGGTGACATTCTATCTACTGTATGGAGTTTTCACTGTAGGTGACATTCTATCTACTGTATGGAGTTTTCTCTGTAGGTGACATTCTATCTACTGTATGGAGTTTTCTCTGTAGGTGACATTCTATCTTCTGTATGGAGTTTTCACTGTAGGGCCTCCTGTAGCTCAGTTGGTAGAACATGTCGCCTGCAACACCAGGGTTGTGGGTTCGATTCCCACGGGGGGCCAGTATGGAAAATGTATGCACTCACTAACTGTAAGTCGCTCTGGATAAGAGCGTCTGCTAAATGACTAAAATGTAAATGTACAAATGTGACATTCTATCTACTGTATGGAGTTTTCTCTGTAGGTGACATTCTATCTACTGTATGGAGTTTTCTCTGTAGGTGACATTCTATCTACTGTATGGAGTTTTCACTGTAGGTGACATTCTACCTACTGTATGGAGTTTTCTCTGTAGGTGACATTCTATCTACTGTATGGAGTTTTCTCTGTAGGTGACATTCTATCTACTGTATGGAGTTTTCTCTGTAGGTGACATTCTATCTACTGTATGGAGTTTTCTCTGTAGGTGACATTCTATCTACTGTATGGAGTTTTCTCTGTAGGTGACATTCTATCTACTGTATGGAGTTTTCACTGTAGGTGACATTCTATCTACTGTATGGAGTTTTCACTGTAGGTGACATTCTACCTACTGTATGGAGTTTTCTCTGTAGGTGACATTCTATCTACTGTATATTTATATCTATCTATATGTCGATCTATCTCTATCTACCTATCTACATGTCTATCCATATTCCCACAGATATCCTATATGTAATTCTATGTATACTCTCTGCCTGGCAGGGTATTACTATGCCAGTACTGTACCCAGTCAGACCTCGTTGTCATAACAACCAGAGCAGGCATGTAGGGCTGTCTGGAACCACAGACTCAGAATAAGCTCATACTTTATCAGGGCTCAGTGTGTGTGTGTGTGTGTGTGTGTGTATGTGTGTGTGTGTACATTAAAACTACCTACAGTTATTGTACAGACAAGTTTACTATTATGAGTATTATGCATTGTGGTTATTTCATTTTAGTACTGCAGGAGCCTGGTATACAGAGATCCTAGTACATAGTACTGCAGGAGCCTGCTATACAGAGATCCTAGTACATAGTACTTCAGGAGCCTGCTATACAGAGATCCTAGTACATAGTACTGCAGGAGCCTGCTATACAGAGATCCTAGTACATAGTACTTCAGGAGCCTGCTATACAGAGATCCTAGTACATAGTACTTCAGGAGCCTGCTATACAGAGATCCTAGTACATAGTACTGCAGGAGCCTGCTATACAGAGATCCTAGTACATAGTACTGCAGGAGCCTGCTATACAGAGATCCTAGCACATAGTACTTTAGGAGCCTGCTATACAGAGATCCTAGTACATAGTACTTCAGGAGCCTGCTATACAGAGATCCTAGTACATAGTACTTTAGGAGCCTGCTATACAGAGATCCTAGTACATAGTACTGCAGGAGCCTGCTATACAGAGATCCTAGTACATAGTACTGCAGGAGCCTGCTATACAGAGATCCTAGTACATAGTACTGTAGGAGCCTGCTATACAGATATAGCATAGATATCTGTAGAGAGGTGATGGGAATAGCCTACATTATGACATAATGGGAGTTGCGTGTGTCCCCTGATGGACAGTCAGTCTTTGAGCGACAGACAGTGAAATCAAACAACAGCAAGCTTATGAAACACAATATTTTATAAAAAATATGGTTTGCTATTTAAAAAAAAAAGAAATATAAACTTGAAGGAAATTAATAAATAACATAAATACAGCTAGCAAAGTCTTTTCTGTATAGTATCTTCAGTTTTGTTGAGCAAATGATTCTTCCATGATTTACCCCAGATAGCTGGTTAGCAGACCAGTTTTGGATGAATAGCTTGTCCGTTCAGGCTCAGAGGTCTGAGAGCGAGGCCAGCTCGTGCAGCAGGAGAGCAAAGGATGGACGGTCCTCTGGTTTCTACATAGGAAGAGACAGATCAATCACAAGACATTATGCTTAAAACACATGCTACACTAAGAGCACAGGTGAACCAACCTACCAAGCTGAATCAGTAAGGTACAGGTAAGTAAGTCTGTCTACTGTAGCGTTTCCCAAACTTGGTCCTGGGAACCCCAAGGGGTGCACATTTCAAATAATTAAAAAATGAATCATTGAATCATTAAAATGATTCAAATAATCAACTCATCATCAAGCTTTGATTATTTGAATCAGCTGCATAGTTCTAGGGGCAAAAAACTAAATGTGCACCCTTGGGGTCCCAGGACTGAGTTTGGGAAACGCTGGTCTACTGTATCACACCCACACTACATCCACCCACATTACACCCACCCACACACACACTACAGCCACCCACATTACACCCACACACACTACACCCACCCACATTACACCCACCCACCCACACTACACCCACACATACACACCCACGCACATTACACCCACCCACCCACACTACACCCACCCACACACATCCACTCACACTACACCCACACACCCCCACTACACCCACCCACCCACACTACACCCACCCACACAAACACACACCCACACTACACACACCCACACTACACACACCCACACTACAAACACCCACACACACACACACACACCCACACTACACCACCCACACTACACCCACCAACAACTACCCACCCACACTACACCCACCCACACACACAACCCACCCACACACCCACCCAACCACCCACACACACACACACCCACCCACACTATACCCACCCACCCACACACACCCACCCACACTACACTAACAGTACAGGTGAGTCAGTAAGCTACAGATGTGAACCAGGTAGATCATTCCCACCCACCTCCTTCCAGCACCACTCCATGAGGAGGTGCACAGCCTCTGGGGCCTGTCTGGGTTTCAGTAGCCTCAGGCCTGCATTCAGGGCATCTACCACCTCACCATTAGACTGGTTCTCATAGGGCAGACGCCCCTCCGTATACACCTCCCACATAAACACACCTGGAGGAGAGGGGAGGAGAGGGGAGGGCAGGGCAGGAGCAGAGGAGAGGGGTGGAGAGGGGAGGGCAGGAGGAGAGGGGATGAGAGGGGAGGGCAGGAGCAGAGGAGAGGAGAGGGGAGGGCAGGAGGAGTGGGGAGGAGAGGGGAGGGCAGGAGGAATGGGGAGGAGAGGGGAGGGCCGGAGCAGAGGAGAGGAGAGGGGAGGAGAGGGGAGGGCAGGAGGAGAGGGGAGGAGAGGGGATGGCAGGAGCAGAGGAGAAGAGAGGGGAGGGCAGGAGCAGAGGGGAGGAGAGGGGAGGGCAGGAGGAGTGGGGGGGAGGGGAGGGCAGGAGGAGAGGGGGGGAGAGGGGAGGGCAGGAGCAGAGGAGAAGAGAGGGGAGGGCAGGAGGAGAGGGGATGAGAGGGGAGGGCAGGAGCAGAGGAGAGGAGATGGCAGGAGGAGTGGGGAGGAGAGGGGAGGGCAGGAGGAAAGGGGAGGAGAGGGGAGGGCAGGAGCAGAGGAGAGGAGAGGGGAGGAGAGGGGAGGGCAGGAGCAGAGGAGAAGAGAGGGGAGGGCAGGAGGAGAGGGGAGGAGAGGGGAGGGCAGGAGGAGAGGAGAGGATTCAACATTCATTCATCATACATCTAGTATACGGTTTCTAGGTTGAAGAAGCTCAGTGTCTGACAATGCACAACAGTCTCGGAGAGAAACGAATAAACCCACCAAAGGACCAGACGTCAGACTTGCTGCTGAACTTGCAGTACTTGATGACCTCAGGAGAAGACCACTTGATGGGGAACTTAGAGCCTTGAGAGCTGGTGTACTGGTCATCGAGAACAAACCTGAGAGGAGAGGAGACACACGGTTATCTGTGTGCATCTCTGCAGCTTCCATGTATAGATGCACAGTGACCCCTACCGAGAAGTCTGACCCTTTAATGCACAGGTGGTAGTTCCCCTGTTACCTCAGGGTGGGTCACTGGTTCAAGTCTTCACCCCGAATCACCATATATTCTGGCCTTTATTGAAAACACACAACCTCAATTGTCATAAACCTGTCTGTCACAAACTCACCTGGTCATGCCAAAATCAGACACCTTCACCACGTTGTTGTAGGAGACCAGACAGTTTCTGGCTGCCTGTGAGGGTTGGGTTCAAAACACACACTTATATATTTATATACTATACACTCCATTATCACTGAAAATACATCTAGGCCTTAACCAAGCTGAGATGTCTTACTGTTCCTTGATGCTATAGCCAGTGAGGTAAACCAACCCTTTCTAAGCTGTTCTGTGTTTTCCTTATATAAATTAATTTACATTTTCTCTGTAAAGTGTGTTGAGACTTCTGAAATGCACTTAAAATAAATTGTGACTAAACAAGCTCACACGCATGCAGGCAAGCATGTACGAACGCACACACACACGCACACAAACACATATGTTCAGGTCTTTGGGTGGGTTACCAGGTCTCTGTGGATGAAGTTGTTGCTCTCCAGGTATGCCATCCCTTCACTGACGTCCAGACACATCCCCAGTAGTGTGTCCTGGGACATACGCCCCCTCCTGGCTCGGAGGTAGTCTGACAGGCAGCCCTGCTCCATCAACTCAAAAACCAGACACATGGGAGAATGCTGGGTACACACACCATACAGCTGTACCAGCTTACAGTGGGACAGCATCCTGCAACACACACACACACACCACACACACGCGCTCTGATCAAAAGTAGTTCATTACATAGCATGTGACCAGGGTGTCATTTGAGACGCAGCCTTGCATTTCACGGCTAAAAACTAGTTAGAAATAGTCCACTATGGAGGGATTCGGGTATCTTCTAAGATGTTCCGTCCACTATGAAGTCCACTCACGTCATGACCCTGGCCTCCTCTTTGAATTCCTCCTCAGACATGGCTCCCTCCCTGACCATCTTCACAGCTACCCTGAGCTCCCTCCACCGCCCCTGGAGTACCAGGCCAAACTGACCGCTGCCCACTTCCTCACCCAGGGTCAGCTCTGCCGGGTCTAGCTCCCACTGACCTGAAGGGTGGGGTAGGGAGAGGGAGGGGGGGATGTGGGAGGGGGGATGGGGGAGGGGGGAGGGAGGGGGGGGGAGGGAGAGGGAGGGGGGAGGGAGAGGGAGGGGGGAGGGTGTGGGGGGAGGTGGGAGGGGGGAGGGAGAGGGAGGGGGGGAGGGTGAAGGGAGAGGGAGGGAGGAGGGGGAGGGAGAGGGAGAGGGAGAGGGAGAGGGAGGGGGGAGGGGGGAGGGAGAGGAAGGGGGGAGGGGGAGAGGGGAGAGGGGAAGGGGAAGGGGAAGGGGAGGGGGGGAGAGAGGGGGGAGGGGGGAGAGGGAGTGCAGAGGTAAAAATGACATACTAACACAATTATTGGAAAATACATTAAGCCTGAACACAACATGGTACACTGTGGTTGCCAGGTTTTCAGGGTGTGGTGGAGCTGCCTGCCTATTGGTAACACCTGGGGCTGCTACACCTGGCTACCTCAACACACAGGTATCTACCTTACATCACCACTATCATCCCAGTTCTAATGCTTTTAGAATAGCAAAACACATGCCAATTCACACTATCATGCATATGTTTTGTTTAAGCGTATCTTCACTACACAGTAACTTATCAATAACGTATAAGGATATCTTTATTACACAGTAACTTATCTATAACATATAAGCACCTGGTGTGTTATCTGAGTTGTGTTTGAGCTTTGTAATTCACGGTTAGGTAACTTCCATAGAGATAGTTAGAGAACTGCTGATAGACAGCCCTGCTGTTACAGACGCTAGCATAGCACAGATACCTATCTCTATGGTAACATCCATAATCAATAACCAAACAAAATGGCTGCTGGCTGCCTGGAGGCAGGAGCAGCAGGTCGACCTCTGACCTTCTGAGAGTTCCGCAGGGCTCTCAAAGCTCTCTCTACCCTGAGAGACGGGATGCCTCAGTCGCGTAATCAGACCTGCAGAGAACGCACACGCACGAATGCACGCACACCCCACACGGACACACACAGACACATGGACAACACACACACACACACACACAGGGTGAATGTCAGGATGAAACAACTAAACTAAATTTGCATATACCGGTAGTTAGATAATGTAGAGGATTTAGGCTATTCTGCCTCAACAATAGAACACATTAACTCTTATTTTACAGGCAGTTTCCTCTGTAGAATGTTGATGTAAGGAAACGATTGCACCCTATACTAAGGGAAGAACAGCTGGACAATAGAATGTATAGAACCATTTCACACAGAGGAGGCTGGTGGGAGGAGCTATAGGAGGACAGCCTCATTGTAATGGGTGGAATGGAATTAATGGAATGGTACCAAACACATCAAACACATGTAAACAACGAGTTTGACTCCGTTCCAGCCATTACAATGAGCCCGTCCTCCTACAGCTCCTCCCACCAGCCTCCTCTGATTTCACACTACATTAACACTCATCTCCCATCTTTCTCTCTACTGTGGGAGATCCACATGTACTGGTGGAACTTACATGACCCCTGAAGATGCCTAGGCTTTATCTCAATGGACTAACAAACACCGTTTTGTGGTGCACAGTCAACCTGGGTACAAATCCAAATAGGTCAAACTGGCCTGGCTGTAAACAGGTGTATTACGTAACTCTAGTGAGCTGGTGATAACGTCATTACCTGCAGCGTTGTGTTGGTGGTACTGGATGAGCTCAGGAATGGTGCTGAACAGGTATTTCTCTGCCAGGTAAAACTTGGACGTCTCTTCTGTCTCTGACTCTCTGATCTGGTAGTGCTTCACCCGCGGGTTCTTCTGTCCGTTGGACCTGAATGTGGTTCATCATCATGTAACTATGATATAGCAAAATCTTTAAAGGGGCAATATGCAGTTCAAACAATAACAAAGCAGTAAACCTGCCACTGTTTTGATAAAAAGCTGAGGGATGGGGCGGGAGATATGTAACCACTCTCAAATTCATAGACAGTGCTAGGGATGTCCAAATACCAATCGCAGATTGCCCCTTTAACTGACTGTAATTGAAGCTGAGTGACATGTCTGAAACAGGCAGTAGTTACCCTGGGGCTTTAGTGAAGACAGACACAGTGTAGACGCCTAACAGGCAGTAGTTATCCTGGGGCTTTAGTGAAGACAGACACAGTGTAGACGCCTAACAGGCAGTAGTTACCCTGGGGCTTTAGTGAAGACAGACACAGTGTAGACGCCTAACAGGCAGTAGTTACCCTGGGGCTTTAGTGAAGACAGACACAGTGTAGACGCCTAACAGGCAGTAGTTACCCTGGGGCTTTAGTGAAGACAGACACAGTGTAGACACCTAACAGGCAGTAGTTACCCTGGGGCTTTAGTGGAGAACGAGACAGTGTAGACACCTAACAGGCAGTAGTTACCCTGGAGCTTTAGTGAAGACAGACACATTGTAAACGCCTAACAGGCAGTAGTTACCCTGGGGCTTTAGTGAAGACAGACACAGTGTATGCGCCTGCATGCCTGGAGTCTCTCACCATAAAGGCTCCTTCTTTACCCTGCAAAAACAACATTTCATTTGAGCAGGATAAATCATAATCATCAGTAAAAATGCAGTATAATTCAAGACATCTGTTGAGTTCATTAGGTTGAATTTGTTGTATGTCATATCATAGTCACGTGGATGTTGTATTTTCAATCTCTATTTATGGGAATATTATAGGAATAAGGCTTGACATGATAACACAGTGAGACTCCCCCCAGGACGGGAGCTTGAAATGCACAACACCCATTCTACCCTCCAATTGTCAAACGACACAACCCTAACCCTACCCTCCCACCGTCACACTACACAACCCTAACCCTACCCTACCACCGTCACACTACACAACCCTAACCCTACCCTACCACCGTCACACTACACAACCCTAACCCTACCCTCCCACCGTCACACTACACAACCCTAACCCTACCCTACCACCGTCACACTACACAACCCTAACCCTACCCTACCACCGTCACACTACACAACCCTAACCCTACCCTCCCACCGTCACACTACACAACCCTAAATCTACCCTCCCACCGTCACACTACACAACCCTAACCCTACCCTCCCACCGTCACACTACACAACCCTAAATCTACCCTCCCACCTTCACACTACACAACCCTAAATCTACCCTCCCACCGTCACACTACACAACCCTAACCCTACCCTCCCATCGTCACACTACACAACCCTAACCCTACCCTCCCACCTTCACACTACACAACCCTAACCCTACCCTACCACCGTCACACTACACAACCCTAACCCTACCCTCCACCGTCACAACACAACCCTAAATCTACCCTCCACCGTCACACTACACAACCCTAACCCTACCCTCCCACCTCACACACTAACAACCCTAACCCTACCTCCCACCTTCACACTACACAAACCCTAAATCTACCCTCCCACCTCACACTAAAACAACCCTAAATCTACCCCTCCACCGTCACACTACACAACCCTAACCCTACCCTCCCATCGTCACACTACACAACCCTAACCCTACCCTCCACCGTTCACACTACACAACCCAACCTACCCTCCCACCTTCACACTACACAACCCTAACCCTACCCTCCCACCTTCACACTACACCACCCTAAATCTACCCTCCCACCGTCACACTACACAACCCTAACCCTACCCTCCCACCTTCACACTACACCACCCTAAATCTACCCTCCCACCGTCACACTACACAACCCTAACCCTACCCTCCCACCTTCACACTACACAACCCTAACCCTACCCTCCCACCTTCACCACTACACCCACCCTAAATCTACCCTCCCACCGTCACACTACACAACCCTAACCCTACCCTCCCACTTCACACTACACCACCCTAAATCTACCCTCCCACCGTCACACTAACACAACCCTAACCCTACCCTCCCACCTTCACACTACACCACCCTAAATCTACCCTCCCACCGTCACACTACACAACCCTAACCCTACCCTCCCACCTTCACACTACACAACCCTAACCCTACCCTCCCATCGTCACACTACACAACCCTAACCCTACCCTCCCACCTTCACACTACACAACCCTAACCCTACCCTACCACCGTCACACTACACAACCCTAACCCTACCCTCCCACCGTCACACTACACAACCCTAAATCTACCCTCCCACCATCACACTACACAACCCTAACCCTACCCTCCCACCATCACACTACACAACCCTAACCCTACCCTCCCACCTTCACACTACACCACCCTAAATCTACCCTCCCACCGTCACACTACACAACCCTAACCTTACCCTCCCACCGTCACACTACACAACCCTAACCCTACCCTCCCACCATCACACTACACAACCCTAACCTTACCCTCCCACCGTCACACTACACAACCCTAACCCTACCCTCCCACCTTCACACTACACAACCCTAAATCTACCCTCCCACTGTCTCATTTGTCTGTAATACCGATTATGACACATTTACAACAGGAAATCCTGGACCTGAGCAAACTGCACCGCTGTTTCAAATGTCATCTTTCACTCTGTGTGTGTGTGTGTGTACATGCATCTTGCAAAATGCAGCTTTTGCATCCGTGCTGCTGGGGAAAGATCCAGGATTGTATTCAATCAAATACGGTAACCCAATTCTCAAACATGATCAATTAAAAAAAACATTATTTTTACAATTATAATTTTTTACGGATAACAAAAACATGCTTTCTCTCTAGTTTTGTCTGGTTTGAATTCTGATAACCTTGCTTCCCATTTTTGATTGAATCAGGCCCACAATGTCTGTCCTCTCGCATATGTAGTAGAGTTTAACGTCCAACTGAAGATGGTCGGCATTGTTGTACCTCTGTCATCAGCAGTTCCTCAGCTCTCCCTCTCGTTATATCTTTGTTGTACCATCTGGAAAACAAGAAGGGGAATTAGACCAATCAGATGTCTGTAATAAAAATAACAGGGTACAATTGTTATCTTGTACTATAAAAATAGTCATGAGAATTATGTTTGATATAAATCAGACTCACTCAAATCTGTTGAAGTTGTTGCAGGATTTTTCCGCTATATATATGCAAGGTACAAAACCTGAGTTTCTATTGAAGGAAAGGACAAAATGGGATGACTAATGTGTACAACTACACAGCCAATAATACATACAGTTGAAGTCGGTAGTTTACATACACTTAGGTTGGAGTCATTAAAACTCGTTTTTCAACCACTCCACAAATTTCGTGTTAGCAAACTATAGTTTTGGCAAGTTGGTTAGGACATCTACTTTGTGCATGACACAAGTAATTTTTCCAACAATTGTTTACAGACAGATTATTTCACTTATAATTCACTGTATCACAATTCCAGTGGGTCAGAAGTTTACATACACTAAATTGACTGTGCCTTTAAACAGCTTGGAAAATTCCAGAAAATTATGTCATGGCTTTAGAAGCTTCTGATAGGCTAATTGACATCATTTGAGTCAATTGGAGGTGTACCTGTGGATGTATTTTAAGGCCTACCTTCAAACTCAGTGCCTCTTTGATTGACATCATGGGAAAATCAAAAGAAATCAGCCAAGACCTCAGAAAAATAATTGTAGACCTCCACAAGTCTGGTTCATCGTTGGGAGCAATTTCCAAACGACTGAAGGTACCACGTTCATCTGTACAAACAATAGTACGCAAGTATAAACACCATGGGACCACGCAGCCGTCATACCGCTCAGGAAGGAGACGCGTTCTGTCTCCTAGAGATGAACCTCCTTTGGTGCGAAAAATGCAAATCAATCCCAGAACAACAGCAAAGGACCTTGTGAAGATACTGGAGGAAACAGGTACAAAAGTATCTATATCCACAATAAAACATTTTACATTTTAGTCATTTAGCAGACGCTCTTATCCAGAACGACTTACAGGAGCAATTAGGGATAAGTGCCTTGCTCAAGGGCACATCGACAGATTTTTCACCTAGTCGGCTCGGGGATTAGAACCAGCGACTTTTCGGTTACTGACACAATGCTCTTAACCACTAAGCTACCTGCCGCCTGAGTCCTATATCGACATAACCTGAAAGGCCACTCAGCAAGGAAGAAGCCACTGCTCCAAAACCATCATAAAAAAGCCAGACTTCGGTTTGCAACTACACATGGGGACAAAGATCGTACATTTTGGAGAAATGACAAAGCCCTGACCTCAATCCTATAGAAAATGTGTGGGCAGAACTGAAAAAGCGTGTGCGAGCAAGGAGCCCTACAAACCTGACTCAGTTACACCAGCTCTGTCAGGAGGAATGGACCAAAATTCACCCAATTTATTGTGGGAAGCTTGTGGAAGGCTACCTGAAACGTTTGACCCAAGTTAAACAATTTAAAGGCAATGCTACTAAATACTAATTGAGTGTATGTCAACTTCTGACCCACTGGGAATGTGCTGAAATAAATCATTATCTCTACTATTATTCTGACATTTCACATTCTTAAAATAAAGTGGTGATCCTAACTGACCTAAAACAGGGATTTTTTACTAGGATTAAATGTCAGGAATTGTGAAAAGCTGAGTTTAAATGTATTTGGCTAAGGTGTATGTAAACTTCGGACTTCAACTGTATTACAGATTGGCTCATAGAGTTGTCATAGGGTTGTCATAAGGTTGTCATATGACATAGGGTTGTCATAGGGTTGTCATAGGGTTGTCATATGACATAGAGTTGTCATAGGGTTGTCATAGGGTTGTCATATGACATAGAGTTGTCATAGGGTTGTCATAGGGTTGTCATAGGGTTGTCATATGACATAGAGTTGTCATAGTGTTGTCATAAGGTTGTCATATGACATAGGGTTGTCATGGGGTTGTCACAGAGTTGTCATAGGGTTTTCATAGGGTTGACATAGGGTTGTCATAGGGTTATAATAGGGTTGCCATGTCGTCTCTCCTTACCCTCTGTGGTCCTGTACGGTCCACCAGTCATGGTGGGAGCTGTCAGTCAGGATGTACTCCTGGTCTTTGTGAAGTGGCAGCTCTGTGTCTCCATTGGGGCTGTAGTTCTGTAGTGCTACCACCACCCTCTGGCCCGGGTCGGAGTGCCGCCGCTAAGGGAAACACTGATCATTAGCATGAATATGACTCAAAGCAACATACTGTACGTTTATAGGCACAGTGACGTATATAGAGACGACTTATCATGCATATTTACCTGTGGGTCCGGGGTTGGAGGGAGAGGCTTCTTGGAAGCTACAGAAGAGCATTTCCTGGTTAATTCTTAAAAGTCTAAGCCGTTGAGGGGGGGCGGGGGGATTCTAAGCTGACATATGGAATTGTTTTAAGGTCATACCATGGATAACTTAGCTATTTGATTTTGAATTTTAGGACTCCTTTAGGAATCAATGAAAATATGTTTAAATCATTTGATAAAATATAGAATTTGGCCTTTACTACTATAGCCCATAAAAATTCATTGAATAACACATTCATAAATGGCAAAAGAAAGACAGTCAAATAATAAATCATAAGGAATAAGGTTTTGAAGTGTCTGTCCTATACCTGGAGAAATAAGAAAGCTCAGGAAATATATATATATATATTTTTTTACACATATTTAACCCCTTATTTTTGTTGGCACAAAACTACCTCCATACATCCATTCATGTGTATGGGTTACGTTGAGACTCTCCCTTTTCAATTATTTTTCAAAGGGTTTATAAATTGTTTATTTGTAAGACATAATAATTTTTATTTTTATTTGTATTATAATTATAATTATGCATGATAATTATGCATATTATGCACATTGAGTGTGGGAAATGCACTCTTCAAATGAAATATACCTGTGCCGTATCCCATAGGGTCGTACTCCTGACACCCTGTAGCCATCTTCTCTGTCTGGTAACAGCACCTCCACTTCCCCTCCATCCAGAAGTTGGGGTGGTACTTCAGGACTAATGCATTACACTTGGTCTCTTCATTGCAAGAGAGAGAAATTAAATACAGCATAAGACATGGAGACTCAAATGTGACATAGAGCATATAATATATTGTTTATATACTACTCTTAATATTATGTTGATTTTGGAAACTTATGGTATATATATTATGGTATATATGAGCAAACTCAGCTCTGAGAGACTCTGTGTGGTATTTGTATTATGGGTCTGACGTTGAATGTTTTGTCTTCCATAACTGCTGCTCACCCTCCTTCAGAGCTCGGACCCATCTCTGACGACAGTCGTTGTCCGGGGCAAAGATGTACAGGTAACAGTTGTCGTGGACAACCTGTTGAGACATTTATGCATATCTGAAAAAACAGTATCATGGCTTATAAATGAAAGTCATTGTAAAGTGTTCCCAATGGTGAGTAATTAGCATTCCTCCATTAGAAAGAAGCAGTAGAAGAGTTTAAGTTGAGTTGTCTTACGTGGACTTACCTGGAATGGGTACTTGTTGCTGCAGGGGATTGGGACGTCACTGCACACTATCTCCACACACTTGATCCTGGAGAGCTCAATGCAGCCTTTCTGGCTGGGCTTTTTCTGAAGATGAATACAGCTTTCTATCAACATCTTCATAACCTTCTATTTTCACATCAAACAATACAACCCCCATACAGTAACTGTCAAATGCTGTAAAAGCAAGATTTCTTAATAACTCAACATATGATTTTCAAAATGAGACTGCTGATGTGTAAAGTGTAAATGAATTTCAACATAAAATGTAATTCTTGCCAGAAATTGCTAAACAAACAAACCCCACACAATGTAACAATACAAATTGTACATACCCCAGGGCGCTGTTCAGAATAGGTCAGGTCCTGTGTGTCCAAGACAAAGAACCTTTCCTTGTAATTACAGGGCGACGTCCTTCGCTTTTGTTGAGATTTCTTGATGAGAGTCCCCTTCAAGATTACCCTGGGGAGCATAGTGAACACAGACACCTGGCTAACATTGAGAGACAGAGAGAGAGAGAGAGACAGAGAGGTGGGCTGTAGAGTTAGACTGAACACCTATAGAGGAGTGGAGAGAAGAAATAGAGTGATGGGAGTTAGTGTCATGTGAGTTTCCGGTGTAGATCCAGTAGGTAAACCACATCCTTGAGCACGGCTGATAGAGAGAGAACAACACTCACACACTCTGAGATACTCACACACAGACTAAGATGCACACACACACACACGTCAAAACATCACAGGTTGCATGGGTGCACAGAACCACAGGAACTGAGCAGCTCTCTCCCCAGAAATCAGGCTAAACGCACACTTAAAACACATTTGTAGTTCAACAAATGCTATTATGCAGATAACTGCCAAAATAATGGAAACACCTGAGTAACTGAGGGATACAAAGTATATTGAAAGCAGGTGCTTCCACACAGGTGTGGTTCCTGAGTTAATTAAGCAATTCATATTCCATCATGCATGTACAGTTGAAGTCGGAAGTTTACATACACTTAGGTTGGAGTCATTAAAACTCGTTTTTCAACCACTCCACAAATTTCGTGTTAACAAACTATAGTTTTGGCAAGTTGGTTAGGACATCTACTTTGTGCATGACACAAGTAATTTTTCCAACAATTGTTTACAGACAGATTATCTCACTTATATTTCACTGTATAACAATTCCAGTGGGTCAGAAGTTTACATACACTAAGTTGACTGTGCCTTTAAACAGCTTGGAAAATTCCAGAAAATGATGTCATGGCTTTAGAAGCTTCTGATAGGCTAATTGACATCATTTGAGTCAATTGGAGGTGTACCTGTGGATGTATTTCAAGGCCTACCTTCAAACTCAGTGCCTCTTTGCTTGACATCATGGGAAAATCAAAAGAAGTCAGCGAAGTCATTGTAGACCTCCACAATTCTGGTTCATCCTTGGGAGCAATTTCCAAACACCTGAAGGTACCACGTTCATCTGTACAAACAATAGTACGCAAGTATAAACACCATGGGACCACGCAGCCATCATACCGTACAGGAAGGAGACGCGTTCTGTCTCCTAGAGATGAACGTAATTTGGTGCGAAAAGTGCAAATCAATCCCAGAACAACAGCAAAGGACCTTGTGAAGATGCTGGAGGAAACAGGTACAAAAGTATCTATATCCACAGTAAAACGAGTCCTATATCGACATAACCTGAAAGGCCGCTCAGCAAGGAAGAAGCCACTGCTCCAAAACCGTCATAAAAAAGCCAGACTTCGGTTTGCAACTGCACATGGGGACAAAGATCGTACTTTTAGGAGAAATGTCCTCTGGTCTGATAAAACAAAAATAGAACTGTTTGGCCATAATGACCATCGTTATGTTTGGAGGAAAAAGGGGGTTGCTTGCAAGCCGAAGAACACCATCCCAACCGTGAAGAACGGGGGGTGCTTTGCTGCAGGAGGGACTGGTGCACTTCACAAAATAGATGGCATCATGAGGAAGGAAAATTATGTGGATATATTGAAGCAACATCTCAAGACATCAGTCAGGAAGTTAAAGCTTGGTCGCAAATGGGTCTTCCAAATGGACAATGACCCCAAGCATACTTCCAAAGTTGTGGCAAAATGGCTTAAGGACAACAAAGTCAAGGTATTGGAGTGGCCATCACAAAGCCCTGACCTCAATCCTATAGAAAATGTGTGGGCAGAACTGAAAAAGCGTGTGCGAGCAAGGAGGCCTACAAACCTGACTCAGTTACACCAGCTATGTCAGGAGGAATGGGCCAAAATTCACCCAACTTATTGTGGGAAGCTTGTGGAAGGCTACCCGAAACGTTTGACCCAAGTTAAACAATTTAAAGACAATGCTTCCAAATACTTATTGAGTGTATGTAAACTTCAGACCCACTGGGAATGTGATGAAAGAAATAAAAGCTGAAATAAATCATTCTCTCTACTATTATTCTGACATTTCACATTCTTAAAATAAAGTGGTGATCCTAACTGACCTAAGACAGGGATTTTTTACTAGGATTAAATGTCAGGAATTGTGAAAAACTGAGTTTAAATGTATTTGGCTAAGGTGTATGTAAACTTCCAACTTCAACTGTATAGAAATGTGCCCTCAGGCCATGCCCCCATAGGATGACAATGACCTCATCCACAGGGCTTGAGTGGTCACTGAATGGTTTGATGAGCATGAAAACTATGTAAACCATATGCCATGGCCGTCTGTCACCAGATCTCAACCCAATTTAACACTTATGGGAGATTCTGGAGTGGCGCCTGAGATAGCGTTTTCCACCACCATCAACAAAACACCAAATTATGGAATTTCTCGTAGAAGAATGGTGTTGCATCCCTCCAATAAAAATCCAGACACTTGTAGAATCTACACCAAGGTGCATTGAAGCTGTTCTGGCTCGTGGTGGCCCAACACCCTATTAAGACACTTTATGTTGGTGTTTTCTTTATTTTGGCAGTTACCTGCATATACAAACAATATACATGTAACTGCCAAAATAAAGGAAATGCCCTATTAAAGGCCCAGTGAAGTTTAAAAAAAAAGATTTTCCTGTGCTTTATATATATTTCCATACTATGGGGTTGGAATAATACTGTGAAATTGTGAAAAGTATGATAATGCCCTTTTAGTGTAAGAGCTGTTTGAAGAGACCGCCTGAAATTTCAGACTGTTTAGGTGGGATGGAGTTTTGGGATGGAGTTTTAAATGAGTTAATAGACCATTAAGAAAGAGAGTACCAAACCTCTGCCATTAACAGCTAGTTTCCTCCTCCTCACTCAGACCAATGTCACTTATAATCTCCACCCGGCACAGCCAGAAGAGGACTGGCCACCCCTCATAGCCTGGTTCCTCTCTAGGTTTCTTCCTAGGTTTTCGCCTTTCTAGGGAGTTTTTCCTAGCCACCGTGCTTCTACACCTGCATTACTAGCTGTTTGGGGTTTTAGGCTGGGTTTCTGTACAGCACTTCGAGATATTAGCTGATGTAAGAAGGGCTATATAAAATAAAATTGATTGATTGATTGATTGACCACTCCCAGACAGACCTAGCAAAATTATTGCTTGAGAAATTGAGAAGCATTTGTTTATTTTATTTTATTACAATTTTTAATGAAAACAATCCCAGTAAGGTACTTAAAGATATTCTCTGGTACTTTTGTATACTCTTTAGCCAGTAGTTCTGCAAGTAGCACTCACAAGCCAAAAGTGGTCCAGGGAAATGTGCAGTTTTGTGCACCAAGCCATTGCTCTCTCTCTTGCTCTGCTGTGTGTGCATGATGTGCCTCTTGCTAGCTGTCACTCATATCGCGAGGGGCTGAAGCTCATTGGATGAACTAGAATTGCTAGGGGGCTGGCCCACGTGGGGGAAAATTTAGGGAAAATGGCTCACCACAGCTTCCAGAAAAACAGTTGCTTTCAAACTAGGGATTTCGTGGCTAATTGAGGTAAGACAGTAATTCTGCTCATAGTTTATGCATGTATGAATTACACATTGACACATCCAGCTCAAAGCAGGAGGTTTAAAAAATACTTAGTAGTTGCCAAAGTTACTGGGGCATGTCTTTAATTGTTAACCAGAAATTACTTGATATTTAAGCAATAAGGCACAAGGGGGTGTGGTATATGGCCAATATACCACTGGCTAAGGGCTGTTCATATACACAACGCAAACCCCGGAGGTGGCTTATTGCTATTATAAACTGGTTATCAACGTAATTAGAGCAGTAAAAATAAATGTTTTTTGTCATAAGGTCTGCTGTACCAAGGCTGTCAGCCAATCAGCATTCAGGGCTCGAACCACCCAGTTTATAATGAGCTATAAACAGCTACATTGGACATTTAAGACACTTTATGTTGGTGTTTCCTTTATTATGTCAGTTACCTGTATGTTGACCATTACAATGAGACGTTCATTTATGTCAGATTCAACATCGCACTTTTGACCTCTTACGCCACTCTGTTACAAAACGTTACACTGTACAAATTTGCTGTTTGAAAAATCTAAATAATTGCCACCATACATCAAATGAAGCGGCACAGTCTGCGATAACCAATCAAATCGCGCATTACTGTCGCGAAGCTGACCAATCCGCACCGCCAACAAATCATGTCAAGCAACATTCCAACCAATGGGATGGGATGACAGGGGCAGACGTAGCGCATACAAATGTCTTGTGAAAAGCAATAATTGTGGTGGTGAATTCAGTCTATAGTAAACACAGTACTTGCGGACTCCATAGAAAGGTATGTTTAAGCTTTTGTTGCCTTTGTCTCATTCCTTGTCGTGAAATGACTTCCAAGTCTGCCAAGCTCTCATGTTTGCTATCTAACGTCGGGCTGTTAGCTAGCTAACGTTAGCTCGCTAGAGACCGAATCAACTGAAAAGATAAAACGTCGTCATTGAGTATAGCTAGCTAGATTGTTAGCTTATGCTTCTAACTAGCGCATTAGTGCCACTTGCCCAGAAGGTTCGTTTTAGACAACGTAGCTAGCTGTGCTCCGCCCTACGTACTGTAACGTTACAAAGTTAGCTACGCTAGCAAGCTAGATGTTGCCCCTCTTGGCGCATGCGCGGCTACTAGGTAGGGCTCTCACATGGCTAGCAACTATTACCACAGATTAATAGGGGAAACGCTATGAATTATCCTAGTTATAAGTATATTTGATTATACCGTCTATATAGAGAGGTGAGCCATCCTCTTTGTTAATCAGCAGGATAATAACATCAGTTAAAGTAGGATGATGAAGTAATGTGGTAGGCTATAATACATCTGTAATCTAATTTTCCTCTATCCAGGCCTCTACCATGGGTGAACCACAGCAAGTGAGTGCCCTGCCTCCCCCTCCCATGCAGTACATCAAGGAGTACACGGACGAGAACATCCGCAAGGGGCTCGCCCCCAAACCCCCTCCTCCCATCCGAGACACCTACATGATGTTCGGCAACCAGTTCCAGTGTGACGACCTGATCATCAGACCGCTGGAGAGCCAGGGCATCGAGCGGCTCCACCCCATGCAGTTCCACCACAAACGGGAGCTCAAGAAGCTCAACATGTCCATCCTGGTGAATTTCTTGGATCTCCTGGACATCTTGATCAAGAGCCCTGGCAGTATAAAGAGAGAGGAGAAGCTGGAGGACCTGAAGCTGTTGTTTGTCCATATGCACCATCTGATCAATGAGTACCGTCCGCACCAGGCCAGAGAGACCCTGAGGGTGATGATGGAAGTGCAGAAGAGACAGCGCCTAGAGACGGCAGAGAGGTTCCAGAAACATCTGGAGAGGGTGGTAGAGATGATCCAGGGGTGCCTGGCCTCCCTGCCCCACGACCTGCCCCAGACTGAGGGCTCGAGTGGGGCAGGGGATGGGGCGAGGGGTGGTGGGGCGTTGGGGTTGGCCGCCAGGCTAAAGACTGAACCCATGGACGTGGAGGAGTCTGGGGCTAGCTGTATGGCTGTTGGGCCACAACAGGACAAAAGCACGGGTGGTGCTGCTAAGAAAGACAGAGTATGGGACAAGGATGCAGCCATGTGTAGTATTATCGATGAGATTGCCTGAGTTTTGTATTTAGAGCTGGGGTCTCTACAGCAGGGTGCAATGATGAAGAACATTCAGATAGAAATGTGTTCTGTAGAACAATGATTGTCTGTTGGTCTCGGTTGAATTGTTTTGTATGCTTAATGTAGTTATGATCACATACGCTGTCTGCAGTTTTATAGTATTTTTCTTAAGTCAAAGCTTTACTGAAACGATGTGTCATGGACTATGAAGACACACCTTCCTTGAGTTGAGACATTTGGGATATCATTGGGGTTTGAATGCTGCTAAATTCATAATTTCATAAAGAAGTTTTAATAAAGCAATTTCCAAGTCCTGTAACATAATTAATATAAATTTTCACTATCATGGTTTGGATTGACTGTTGAATTAAATAAATAATTAGGCCTACCACCCTTTTCTGTTTTTAATCTAAGAATGGTTCTGTTATGCCACTGGTGGATTCTGCTGATTTCTTTCAGGTTGTCTTAAAACTGGGTCCTGGCTAGAAACCACTGTTTTCTACTTTTCATATTGTATTTCTTACCTTGTGAGTCCCTGTGTAAACAAACAAAATATATATATTTTTAGGAGCTAAACCACACTATACAATGTAGTCCAAGAATGCTCAAGAGATCTTGCTCGTCCTATGGTCAAACCTGAACCCTGTTCACACGTCATAAGCTAATGTGATTGAATGTCTTTTTTAGAGAGGGAGGGGGGCAGGTCCGTGAAGCTTTGTGTGTAGCAGCTTGCTGTGTAAGCTAATATACTTCTAGCAATCTGAGCTAATGTCCCAGTCAGAGACACGCCCTACGCTGCCTCAGTCTGTCACTGTTTGTCTGGGGAGGTCAGTGTGTAGTTACATACAGACACACTCCAGGGGGGAAGTTTCCTCTAGCCTAGTAAAAAGCATGAGCTGGCACACACCCAAAACATTTAGTAGAGGGGTTGACTAACGCAGAGTAAACTGTAGAAAAAATGAGTTAAACACTGTAAGTGCGCCCCACAATTTCATGGGTAAATCACCAACTTTTAGACAATTCCCTGTACCCTGAAGAAGGCACTGTTGCTGAAACTTTGGTGATTTACCCATTAAATTGTTGGGAGCAGTTACATAGTGTGCAACTCTTTTATTAAGTTTCCCCTAGCAACAGATGTATCAGTTTCCCTAACCTTAACCATTAGTGGGGGAAATGGCTGGGGTGACTTCACCCTACACCCGGACAGACCGCTTGGCTCTGTCTGCGCTCTCTCCCAGTTACCAACATACTAATAGTGTAATGGGCATGGTCTGTGCTATGTAACTAACACATGCAGTAATGTGAGATTGCTCATTGGCTGTGTTTAGCTCCTATTAGAAGACAGATAGTTGGTGACAGACAGAGAAATTGAATTCTTACACAACATGGGCTGAGCTAGTACTGCAGGCAGGCCTGGGTTGTGTAAGCTAAGGTTTGTGTAAGTGTACTTTAGTCCCATAGACAGAGAGACAAACTGAACCACTAGGTGGATTCAGATTTCCGTATTATGGCACACATACGGGCCTTGAATTGATGTGCTGTTCGGTTTCAATCATAGAGGACAGCCATACCGCTATCCATAAAATGTCAATCTGAATTTCCATTCCTGTGTTATGAAAACATGTTTGTTATTGAACTCGTTGGAAAACATAATTGCCTTGTTTATGTTTTTCTGTGTGTAATGTAGCCTAGATACTGCCATCTCTGATTCAACATGTCTGTGAAGCCTTTAGTCACATCCAGCATGCTTTATTTCAACAGGAGCAGAAAGCATAATACATTACCTAACACTACTGCCCCAGATATCCAACTCCTACTCAACCTACATTTTCAAGTGGTTGCTATAGTTACAGAATGATTATGAATCGTAGAAGGCCTATGAAAGACATACAGTACCGGTCAAAAGTTTGGACACACCTACTCATTCCAGGGTGTGCCTTGATGACAGCTATGCACACTCTTGGCATTCTCTCAACCAGCTTCATGAGGTAGTCACCTGGAATGCATTTCAATTAACAGGTGTGCCTTGTTCAAAGTTAATTTGTGGAATTTATTTATTCTTAATGCGTTTGAGCCAATCAGTTGTGTTGTGACAAGGTAGGGGGGTATACAGAAGATAGCCCGATTTGGTAAAAGACCAAGTCCATATTATGACAAGAACAGCTCAAATAAGCAAAGAGAAACGACAGTCCATCATTACTTTAAGACATGAAGGTTGGTCAGTCTGGAACATTTCAAGAACTTTGAAAGTTTCTTCAAGTGCAGTCGCAAAAACCATGAAGTGCTATGATGAAAGTCGCTCTCATGAGGACCACCACAGGAAAGGAAGACCCAGAGTTACAGTGGGGAAAAAAAGTATTTAGTCAGCCACCAATTGTGCAAGTTCTCCCACTTAAAAAGATGAGAGAGGCCTGTAATTTTCATCATAGGTACACGTCAACTATGACAGACAAAATAAGGAAATAAATTCCAGAAAATCACATTGTAGGATTTTTAATGATTTTATTTGCAAATTATGGTGGAAAATAAGTATTTGGTCAATAACAAAAGTTTCTCAATACTTTGTTATATACCCTTTGTTGGCAATGACACAGGTCAAACGTTTTCTGTAAGTCTTCACAAGGTTTTCACACACTGTTGCTGGTATTTTGGCCCATTCCTCCATGCAGATCTCCTCTAGAGCAGTGATGTTTTGGGGCTGTCGCTGGGCAACACGGACTTTCAACTCCCTCGAAAGATTTTCTATGGGGTTGAGATCTGGAGACTGGCTAGGCCACTCCAGGACCTTGAAATGCTTCTTACGAAGCCACTCCTTCGTTGCCCGGGCGGTGTGTTTGGGATCATTGTCATGCTGAAAGACCCAGCCACGTTTCATCTTCAATGCCCTTGCTGATGGAAGGAGGTTTTCACTCAAAACCTCACGATACATGGCCCCATTCATTCTTTCCTTTACACGGATCAGTCGTCCTGGTCCCTTTGCAGAAAAACAGCCCCAAAGCATGATGTTTCCACCCCCATGCTTCACAGTAGGTATGGTGTTCTTAGGATGCAACTCAGCATTCTTTGTCCTCCAAACACGACGAGTTGAGTTTTTACCAAAAAGTTCTATTTTGGTTTCATCTGACCATATGACATTCTCCCAATCCTCTTCTGGATCATCCAAATGCACTCTAGCAAACTTCAGACGGGCCTGGACATGTACTGGCTTAAGCAGGGGGACACGTCTGGCACTGCAGGATTTGAGTCCCTGGCGGCGTAGTGTGTTACTGATGGTAGGCTTTGTTACTTTGGTCCCAGCTCTCTGCAGGTCATTCACTAGGTCCCCCCGTGTGCTTGTGATCATTTTGACCCCACGGGGTGAGATCTTGCGTGGAGCCCCAGATCGAGGGAGATTATCAGTGGTCTTGTATGTCTTCCATTTCCTAATAATTGCTCCCACAGTTGATTTCTTCAAACCAAGCTGCTTACCTATTGCAGATTCAGTCTTCCCAGCCTGGTGCAGGTCTACAATTTTGTTTCTGGTGTCCTTTGACAGCTCTTTGGTCTTGGCCATATTGGAGTTTGGAGTGTGACTGTTTGAGGTTGTGGACAGGTGTCTTTTATACTGATAACAAGTTCAAACAGGTGCCATTAATACAGGTAACGAGTGGAGGACAGAGGAGCCTCTTAAAGAAGAAGTTACAGGTCTGTGAGAGCCAGAAATCTTGCTTGTTTGTAGGTGACCAAATACTTATTTTCCACCATAATTTGCAAATAAATTCATTAAAAATCCTACAATGTGATTTTCTGGAGAAAAAAAATCTCAATTTGTCTGTCATAGTTGACGTGTACCTATGATGAAAATTACAGGCCTCTCTCATCTTTTTAAGTGGGAGAACTTGCACAATTGGTGGCTGACTAAATACTTTTTTTCGCCACTGTACCTCTGCTGCAGAGGATAAGTTCATTAGAGTTACCAGCCTCAGAAATCGGCTATTAACTGCACCTCAGATTGCAGCCCAAATAAATGCTTCACAGAGTTCAAGTAACAGACACATCTCAACATCAACTTTTCAGAGGAGACTGCGTGAATCAGGCCTTCATGGTCGAATTGCTGCAAAGAAACCACTAAAGGGACACCAATAAGAAGAAGAGACTTGCTTGGGCCAAGAAACACGAGCAATGGACATTAGACCGGTGGAAATCTGTCCTTCGGTCTGATGAGTCCAAATTTGAGATTTTTGGTTCCAACCGCCGTGTCTTTGTGAGACGCAGAGTAGGTGAACGGATAATCTCTGCATGTGTGGTTCCCACCGCGAAGCATGGAGGAGGAGGTGTAACACTGTCATTGATTTATTTAGTATTCAAGGCACACTTAACCAGCATGGCTACCACAGCATTCTGCAGCGATATGCCATCCCATCTGGTTTGCGCTTAGTGGGACTATCATTTGTTTTTCAACAGGAAATGACCCAAAACACACCTCCAGGCTGTGTAAGGGCTTTTGACCAAGAAGGAGAGTGATGGAGTGCTGCAACAGATGACCTGGCATCCACAATCACCTGACCTCAACCCAATTGAGATGGTTTGGGATGAGTTGGACCGCAGAGTGAAGGAAAAGCAGCCAACAAGTGCTCAGCATATGTGGGAACTCCTTCAAGACTGTTGTAAAAGCATTCCAGGAGACTACCTCATGAAGCTGGTTGAGAGAATGCCAAGAATGTGCAAAGCTGTCATCAAGGCAAACGGTGGCTACTTTGAAGAATGTATAATAGAAAATATATTTTGATTTGTTTAACACGTTTTTGGTTACTACATGATTCCATATGTGTTATTTCATAGTTTTGATGTCTTCACCATTATTCTACAATGTAGAAAATAGTAAAAAAATTAAGAAAAACCCTTGAATGAGTAGGTGTGTCCAAACCTTTGACTGGTACCATAGGTGATGCATTATGTGGGTCTGTAGATGCTAGGTGTGCAGGCTGTTGTTCCAACATTACTTCAACACACCTGATT